GGGGGGAGGGAAGGCGCGGAGATATCAGAGCCTACGTAGGGAATTGCGTACTGAGTTTGCCGGTATAAGTCTTCCTGTTGGCTTTTGGTGACCATGCCAATGAAACAAATGGAGGGGGGTTAAGGGGGAAGTGAGGGATGAGGGGGGAATTAGAGGGGGTGGGTATAGGAGCAAGAGAAGGACACGATTGCAGGTTATGGCGGACTACACACACCTTGCAGAGGAACAGACCAAGAGGCGGAGCGGGACTAGTGCTCATGCTCGTGTTATAGGGGAGGAGAAGTGAATGCACGACACGACACCTTGACACGGCACTGCACAGACCCTCCCCTCCCTGGCCCTCTCGCCCCTCCTTCAAACCCCCCTCCTCCCAGAATCCCTTCCTTCCTCCCCTCTTTCCCCCCCCCTACATACACACATACACACATGCACTCATACACACATATATGTTGGTCAGGCACTACTGGTATCACACACACCGATGCCCCCGGAGGTTCCGGGATCGAGACCTGCCAGGGTCGAAAATCCTTCCGATTGGGTGGAAGGTAATAGTGCCCCTAGTCGATGGACGATGGTGACCTGAAGTAGACCGGCGAGCTGACCAGGAATGGAGTTGAGCCGCCGTTGAACTGGCAGATTTTCCGTGCGGAACCTGAGCGATCCACTGAGAAGTCGGCTAGGGTGACTGGATGAGCTCGAGGGTGCCCCAAAATACAGGGGAAGGCACACAGGATTTCGACGGGTAGCGGCCATGGGCGAAGATACGACCCCCATGTCCCCCCATGCCCCACACATACATACATACACACACCTGACGTAGTTGAGTTCCGAGTCATGGCAGTACGTGTTGTTGTTTCCACCCTTGCTGTGGCCGTACTCGTCCCCCATGGTGATCATGGGCACGCCGCAGGACAGCAGCAGCGCAGCGGACATGTTGCGCATCTGCCGCTGGCGAAGACGCTGAGAGTAGATGGCGGGGCAGGGGGCCAGGGGAGGTAGGGGAGGTAGGGGAGGTCGGTGCTGGTGGGTGAAACCAAACCAGGGCGGGGGTTTGGGAAGTTCGGGGGGCCGGGGGGCGGAAAGCCCGGACGATGATGATGGTGGTGGTGAACGGAGTTCTGGGTTGTTACTCTTGTCGTACTCTGCCGTACTTCCTTCCCACTCCTTCCGGGGAGCAACCCCGATCGGCCCCTCCACCACCACCACGAAAATCGTCCTGTACGAATTAGGTGATGATCTCCGGGACGAAGGAGGCTCCGGACTGTAACTGCTGTCGGGTTGCAGTCTGAGCGCTCAGCCTCCCGGGGAGGGGGAGGGGATCGTTTAGGCCAAACTAACTTGTGTGTGGCGGTTCCGCTAAAAACACACAGCCTTCCGTAATCCTCCAACCAACCGCTTTCCCCTCCCCCAAAACCCCCTTTCCGCCGTACACTCACATTGACCTCCCACTTGCTCGTGGGACCCTCCTCCCCGCAATTCCAGGAGTTGTTGTGCGCCTCACCATCACGGTTGTCTTCGCCGTTGGCTTCGTTGTGCTTGTTGTTGTACGACACCTTGGACGACAAAAAGGAACATGCGCATGCACATACATATGCATACACACATACACGCACATATCACATGCTTTTGCATGCAACCGGGACATACATACGTACACTAGCGGACAAGAAAGCGACTAATATAGATAGATAGATAGATAGATAGATACAACAAAACAAGGGGCTGTTTTTAATGCGTTCTTAGTAAGGCTTACGCGATCCGATCCTGGCTGATAAACGTCGTCGGCCCATGACACTCTCCCTCTCCCACCCCTCCCCAACCCACCAATACACCCCCACCCCCACTTTCAGTTGCCGTTAAAGTACCGCAACTCCTTCCCCCTTCTACCCCACCCGCCTACCTCCACTTGTGCATTTTATCGGCCCCCACTCCTTCCCCTCCCCGCCAAACCCCTCTCTATACAGCCCCCATCCCCCACCCACCACATCAGCCAAGGTAAACCCGTCGTGCGCGGTGACGAAGTTGATGGAGGCGGAGGGACCGCGACCACCTCGCCACTGCCGACCACCGTTGTTACCCCACCTGGGAAATCGGGGGGGAGGGGGGGAGGGGGGGAAGGGGGGGAAGGGGGGGAAAAGGAGGCACGAGTCCCAAAACATTGCAAAGAGGAGGATTGGTTACACGGACATGTGTATGACAGGGTACGACATGAATGAGGCCATGGATGTCCTATCCGTGCTGTACGTGCGTATGTACAAAGGCCACAACCTCAACACACACACACACACCGCACTACCCTCCCCCCACTGCCCCCACCCCCCTCTCCCCCTGCACCCCCCCAGCACCCACCAGTCGCTCTCTTGGGGCTGTGAGCTGGCGTATATGTTGGGTGAGCCGCACACCGCGGAGGCGAAGTCGCCCGCCCAGGGCCCGTCAGTGCCCTTGATGAAGTTGCGAACCACGTCGCGGAATTTGCCGTTCCACTCCGACCAGCGGCCGCCGTAGTGCGGGAAAGCGCCCACCTGGGGAAGAAGAGAGAGAGAAAAAATGTGTGTGTGTGTGTGTGTGTGTGTGTCAGAGAGAGAGAGAGAGTGTGTGTGTAGGGTGTGTGTGTAGGGTGTTTCCCCCCCTCCCCCCTCCCTCCTCCCGGGTGCCCCGTCACCTGGTTCAATCCGTCGCAGTCCCAGGCCTCGGCGACCAGTTTGGTGTTCCTCAGCACGGGGTCCTCGGATATGGCCTCCACCAGGGGGGGGTCGGGCAGGGGGGTGCCCGTGGGGACACCAGCGCCGTCAGTCATGATGCCTGGGAAGGGGGGGAAGGGGGGGAGGGGAGGGGAGAGGGCGGGAGGAGATGAGCTTGCGGTATGCGCGAGGACGGAGCCGGAGGGAATGCTTTGTTGTGGCGGGTTGTGGTCGCACTTTGGATACACAGACAGAGACACGCACACTTCCCCTCGTCGCGGCCCAGATTATTGTTCCATCCATCCATCCATCCATCCATCCATCCATCCATCCATCCATCCATCCATCCATCCATCCATCCATCCATCCATCCATCCATGCATACACACACGCGCTCCCTGAACGCACCCACCCCGATATACACACACACACCTTCCCTCCGACTCTCCGACTCACACCGGTCTCCGGAGCTGTGTGCCCCTGCTCCCTCCCTCCTCACCGCCCGCCCCCCGGCAAGATGCGCACACACACACATACATACAAACATTCACACCCGCGAGGCTCTCGAAGTTCAAAGAAGCACACACACGCCCCAAAACACATGTCGTACCTTCTGCACTGACAAGGGCTCCACCACTGGACATGGCGACAGGTTGACCTGTCTCCTCGTCGTACTGCTGCGGGTGCCAGGCGCTGGGCGCCCGGGTCAGGATGGACGCCAGATCGAACCTGACCGGGAGCGAGAGACGCCTTTTTAGCACCGATATTTATATATACATTCAAGGAAATAGTAGTCTCTTCATCATCACACGATAATCTTATGTGGGAAACGGCGGTTGTAGGTTACCGTTATCTGTTGCTGTTGTTCTCTCGGGTTCCCAATCAAGGACAGACAGACAGCGGCAGTGGTGGTAGTGGTGGTGGTTGGTCAGTTCCTATATCATTGTTATTGACCTTGGAAGCCGCTTTGGCAGCAGTAGCAGTAACAGTAGCAGTAACAGCATGATGAGGATGGCGAAAGAGGCGGCAGCAGCAGCACCACCACCACCAGCAGAGAAAAACGGTCCATTTTCCTCAGAGCAGAACCAGCGCCGTCTCCCAGAGCAGGAAGACAACTAACCGACAACAACTGTCAACCGCTCCCTTTCCAACCAAGTACCTGAACCCGTCCACGTGGTACTCGGTCACCCAGTACCGCAAGCAGTCCAAGATGAATTGCCGTACAACCGGTTGGTTGCAGTTGAGTGTGTTGCCGCAACCACTGCGGGGTGTAGGTGGGTTGCGGTACGGCAGCAGTTGGTTGTGGTTGGTTGTGGTTGGAATAGTAGCACGATGTAAAAAAACTCTTTTCAGGACAAACAACAGCGCTGACGGCGGTGCTTCTGGAGACCAGGAGAGTTGGCGGCCGAGTTGGTCAATGCCTTCCCCACCCCTCCCCTCCCCTCCCCACCCCTCGAGACGGATCTCAGCGGTCTCTTGTCAGCGGAGGATGTACGACACTCACCTGTAGTTGTAGTACTCCCCCCCTGGCGCCAACATGTAGTACACTCGGTTGTCCAGTCCCCGGAATGAGAGTGTGGGTCCCCGCTCGTTGCCCTCCGCCGTGTGGTTGAACACGACGTCTAGAAGCACCTGGGGGGTCGTGGGGGACACGAAACACACACCGACCGACCGACCGACAGACAACACACCCCGTGCGAGCGAGCGAGAGCGAGAGCAAGGGAGTGCGTGTAAGAAAACAGTGTAAGGAAAGGAAGCCCAGTATTAAAAGGGATGAAGGTATGTTGTGTATGTTGTTCGTACAAGTGTGTAACGGGTAAAGCGGACGTGTGTGTGTTTTCCCGGGGAGGGGAGGAAGTGGGGAAACGCGAATAGGCACAAAAAGAGAGGAGGCTCAACGCCAGTTTAGACTTCAGATAATACAAGATGATGACTAGGTGGCTAACTAACTAGCTTACTAGGTAGATGGATGGATGGATAGATAGATAGATGGATGGATGGATAGATAGATAGATTCGCCCTTGGCCTCCTCCCAGCCTAGTGTCGCACCAGCCCCCTCCCGCACCTCTATGCCCCGCTTGTGGCACTCCTTCACCAACTGCTTGAACTCGTCACACGTGGACCTGACGGGGCGCCCCTCCGCCAGGGCGGCGCTGTAGCGACCCATGGGACTGAAGTAATTGACGGTGGAGTAGCCCCAGAAGTTGTACCTGGTTCGAGAAGGTGGGGGTGGGGTGGGGGGATGGGGGGGTGAAAGGGGGGAGGGAAAGGTAAGAAATGGAAGGGAGGGGCGCATAAAAGAGTGGTGGGTGGCTTAGAGGAGCGAAGACCGCCGGCATGGGGCGCCGGGGGGGGGGGGAAGACGAACCACGAACGAGTGAATCTGCTGCCAAGGAAAGTGTGCACGGGGTGGGGAAGGGAGGGGGGGTTGCTGATGTGTACGATGCCCCCATACCAGTGCGCGCCTGGCAGCTCCCTCTTCCCTTTTCCCCCCTCCTTATCCCCTTCCCCTTTCCTTGTCACACACGAGCGCACACATACACACATACATATATACACAAACACGCACATATATGTATACACATATACATAACATATAACCATACAACACAATGCATTGGTTCATGCACACGCCGCGCGGTCTCTTATCCCCCCCATCCTAGTTGCACATGCACGGTATCAGACCAACGGTCCACCTTTCTTTACTACCCAACTGCAACTGCTGTATATCACCTTGCCGTACGCCGTACCTATACTCTTTGGATCCAGGGATCTGGCTGTAATACTCGAGTTCGTTGAATTCAAACACAGGCAACAGCTCGATGGCGTTGATTCCCAGGGCTTGAAGGTGATCCAACTTCTCAATCATGCCCGCGTAGGTTCCTGTCGTGCCATAAAAGATGAAACAGATGAGACAAACAGACGAACAACCAATATACATATATATAGGTATATATATATATATAGAGAGAGAGAGAAGTACGCCGACCCAAATCAGCCATTCATGTACACTTCTCCGAGGCAGCGGAAGCCCTGGCAGGATGGGTCGCCCGAATCCCATCACCACGGAATGCGGAATGCCCTAGACAGCGAGAAGGCAGCCAGCGCTCCGTCAACAGCCGCAGTTGTGGACACCCCCCTCTGGAGGAGCAGGGCCAGGGCCAGGGGCAGGAGGATCTCCTCCAAGGAAGAGGATCTTAATTTCCTCAATCCACTCTACTCCACCCCAGCGCAATTCCCACCCACCCACCCACCAACTAACCAATGCCCCCACCCAATCAACCAACCAACACTCCAACGGCCACCTGGGACGCTTCAGTCTTCACCGGTCCACGTGTTCTACTGTCTAGAAGCTGAGTCCTAATTTGGATCAGGAGGACTTGGCGGCAGCAGCCACCGCCGCCGCGGCCGTGTGTAGGTCCCTGACTCAAGAGGCGCTATGAGGCCCTCGACGGGACACAGGAGCTGCGGCGACGGCGGGCACCGACCACGTCGCCACACACCTTCCACTGGGGTGCACCCGCACCCGCACCCGCACCCGCACTGTCCCAATACCCCCCCACCCCTCCCAAGGACAGTTTCCTCCTCCCCGAACCGGCCCCCCTCATTCCGCCATGTCGCCTCCCAACCCACCTCACCCCGCCAAGGATCACACCACCAAAAAGAATCCCCACAGCGTAAATCCCCTTGTTTCACCCGTGTGTGCAGGTGTCCAATTTAGGCAACCAATCAGCTATGAACAGAATGCCACGCCATCTGTCATGCACAACACATACTTCCCAAACTCACCGCGCCCCATCTCCTGAACTCCCCAATACCGTACACAACCCATCCATGCGCATGCACACGTGCCGTACAATTTAACCGATACACGTTACGCACGCGCATACACGCAGCACTCGCGCCGGACTTACCGGGTGCCCCCACGCCGCTGCTCTCATGCGCCGTGAACCCCCGTACATGCGCCTCGTAGATAACCAAACTCTCCATGGGCAGGTTGAGGGGCCGATCCCCCTCCCAATCGAAATGGGGCTGATGGGAAAAAGACGAAGAGGAGTAGCGGCCCGAGGGGAGAGCTGCGGCGGCCTGAGGCCACGTAGGCATGAGGCCCAGCACTCCGGGCTCGCCGTACGGCAGGTTGGGGCCTAGCTGGCCCCAGCGCCGGCGGCTGAGAACTGCCACAGCGTAGGGATCCAGTACGACATGGCTCTGAGGATGGGTGGTTGATAGAAGGATGGGTGGGGGCGGATGGATAAGGCCTTATGTGAGTTGCGGGACCGACGGGCTCTCGCTATCTCTTTGCCTGCCTGCCTGCCTGCCTGTCTGTCTGTGTGTCTGTCTGTCTGTGTGTGTGTGCGAGAGAGAGATTTAGCCTTCGCATTCGCATATAAACGCACACGCGTGAATTCGGAAGGGTCAGCCTAACCAACTTACAGCACAAACACACAGAGTTTATTGCCACACGGGCCATCGATTCGGACGTAGCTGAAGGGCACACAGTGGCAAACAGCAGCTACCCCGCACTTCAAGTTCCTTTCCCACCGCCGCCGCCTGCTCCTCCCCCCCCCCATTTCCAACCTCTCCTTGTTCCCTTCTTCCCGCACTCAGGCGGTCCAGCAGGACAGAGCCCCTCCCTGCCTCCCTCCCTTCCACTCTCCTTCCTTTACCCCTCCCTCGGTTTTGTGAGATCTCTTCCCCTACTGCTATCCTACTGCCCTCCCCCCCCACTCCCGGCACCATACCCTCTCCGGCTTAACGCCACTCCCCCCCTCCTGCACGCACTAGCCCACCTGGTCATGGCGGTGGCCTGGACCCTCCTTGTCCGTGTCCTGATGGAGACCATCCACACGGTACCCTGCACATACCGGTGGGCGGTCGTGAGAGGGGTGAGGGGCGAGGGGACCATGTGCATGTGGAATGGGAGGATGCGACGAGCTAAGGTGAGGTGAGGTGAAGGGAGCGGAAAAAGATATCGCCAAGGAGGCATGTCTTGATAATCCGAGGCTGTATCTCAGCTGCCCCTGTTTCTCTGTCCCGCTGCTGCGTTTTAACTATGTTTTCCAAAAATTCCCTGCCATGCACTGCCCTTTACGGGAGGGGGGAAGAGACAGCCAGCGAGAGTCAGTGTAGCCCTGGCTGCCTCCATGCCCGTTCCGAAATGTACGGCACTTCGTCCTCGTGTGAGTGCAGCTTACCGTACAGCAGGTCGTCCCGCAGGTTGGGCAGCATCACGTGCCACACGTCACCGGTTCGGTTGGTGGTTGGGTCCAGGGGCACCTCCAACGTGGCCCTCCCGGCCGTCAGGTCTGCCTCCGTGAACAGCACCAGGCGGACGGCGGTGGCGGAGGAGGAGAAAACCGCAAAGTTGATGGCGCCCTGTTACCGGGGCCGGCAGGCACGGCGCGGCGTAGGTGGGGAAGTGGGGGAACCTCCTGCTACTCATGCTGCTCCTGCTATTTGCCAAACCCCAACAAAACGATATTACTGGTGTCTGTGAAGCGGTGGGTGGAGGAAATGGAGTTTTATCAGAGCAAGCAAGCAAGGGAGGGGGGGAGTGAGGGAAACCCTCGGCCAAGCCCCCACGTGGACAGCCCCTGAACCCCCCTCTCACCCCCTGCACCCCGCACCCGTTGGGAAGAACAAAGCCGCTGCAAGGGAGGGTTAGAAGCATTAACTTATGAATATTGAATGGATGTTGTTACAGAGTGGGAGGCTTCTGGGCCACTTGAACACATTGTCATTGACTTGTATAAACCGCGGGATTTGAACTGAGGTCAGCAAAGTCGGCAAGGGAAGCTAAAACCAAGCAACGGGCCCCAAGGGAACCATTGTGGGGGAAAAGCACTGCTGGCACCAGCACGGTGTCACAAGTGCTGAGATGATGTGCAAGCGGGGCCGAGCAGGAGGGGGACGCAGCCAGCTACGACGAGGTGCAGCATTCAACGAAGTGGGAAGAGGGGAGGACATGGGGGTGGGTGGTGGTGGTGGCACACTGGGTGTGTCGGGAGAGCGAGAGCAGGGCGCAGGGCATGAGGAAGGAGCGATATCGGGGGAGGGGACGGGAGGGGAGGGGTAAATATGACTGCTACGGCCATCCTATGTGCGGGTTAGGGACGGGGTTGGGAGCCGGAGGTGGCGTGGAGCGTGAAGTCCAATGAGCTCCGGCGGCATAGGGCCCCGGAGCCCCTGGGCCACCGTCCAGTCCGATATGGTCCCTTTGGGGTGTGTTTGTAGTACTCTTACAAGTATTAGTATTAGCAGTTGGTGGTAGTAGTAGTAGTAGTAGTAGGTGGTGGTGGTGGTGGTATTACAGTGAGAGAACCCCAGGCCCCCAGGGGGGGTACCCCCCCTCAGGGTAGCTAGGGGGCCATCACGAGCCACAACGGACCGTGTGTCTGTACTGCGCGTAAGTTGCGTTGTGATATGTAGTTTTGACTAGGAAATATGGCGTACGTTGCGACAGCGGGGGGTCGCACATCCCAAATCGATTTACATCGCGGTTAGTTGACAGTTAGCGGTTGTCAGTTGGTTGTCTCGATTTGAGCCAGCGCGCAATGGGCACAATCCAGCTACGCTTGGGCACGCTGAGGAAATTTGGGGCAGGCCCTAGGATGGTGGCGGGGAAAGCTGGGTGTGGGGGCCTTGCCGCTCCTAGCATAGCGTGTCCATGTCCCGTCAGGAACGGGTGAGGGTAGGCAAAGAGACTCTGCATGCGCCAGACAAGAGGAGACAACGAACCTGTGCATGAACGTGCTCGCCGTTACACTTACAGTGTCAGCATCGATGCTCGCACCGAGCGGCTCTGGTCGACCCGTGAGGACGGGGCCATGCAAGGCGGATCCTGGCTGGCCGGACGGCTCTGTGGAAAGCTTCTTCGTGCTGATGGCCGTGGGGCTGCTCGAGAGCTTAGGAGATTCCAATTCAAATGAAACAACTCGCAGCGGAGGCAGAATTCCCCTACGAAACGGATAAATTCGTGTGCGTTATCCATGGCCGCGACAAAGTACAAGGAACCTTGCAATTCGAGGGTCAACCATAAATTTGGTCATTATCGTGAGAACAATAAGACATGGAGTTACGCCTTTCGAACGGCGGTGAGGTCATCGAGGCGCTGACCACCTAACAACAACCACCCGCGGAATAAAAGCAATTGTCCCCACCTTCGGTCGCGGGTCCATGATCCAGCTGCCGCTGTCAGCACATGGCCAACGGATGTCTTTGTGCATCCTGAATTGCCATTGCAGAGGCCCTGGCGCTGTCGTCGCGCAGGCCCGACGGTAAGGCCAGGGCCGCTCAAGAGCATCGTGATTTTGTCGTCTGAAAGATTCTCACCAAATAATTTGGACAGGTGTATGTAAAATTTGAAGTTGTGTGAACTCTGCAGGAGCAATCCCTATTTCACAGGGAGCTGAGCTGGAAGTTGTAGATACCAAGGTTATGCGCAGCGTGCAGATTTCGCGCATGTATTCAATAAAGCATTCTGTATACTTCCAACTTCTATGGGACGTCAATTCTCAAGCGCCTGTCCGCCGTGCATCTTGCAGAATTAACCCTACCGGATGCCAGAACTCCAATGTGCATTGCCGACATTTCAACTTTTGTAATGATGGCCAACCCGTATACGAGTCAGTTTTTTTCCCATGCACAATGGGAGGCTACCACACAGTGTCAACTGCTACAAAGTGCGCTGCCAAATTGCGCTTATGGCTGTGCTAAAAATATCGAGACTGTAGTTTGGAAGTTACCTATCAAGGCAACCCGAGGTATATGACCAAAGGCGGAGAATTTATTTCGTTCAATTGGTGGTAGACCCGCGGGACCCAATTGTCGCCTGCATATCCCAATTAAAATGCTAATATACATACGTTAGCTCAAGATTTTCACAACTATTCTTATGTATGCATTGCGCACTTTTGTGATCGCGCCCAGGCCGGCCTGTGACTAGCCAAACAACGAAATGACAGTCGGCGTGCAAAAACTCTTGCCTCAACTGTGCATCTCTGTCTTAATGAATAAAGGGCGAAACACAGCGTGTCCATGTGGAACCATTAAAAGATTGACCGACCGTCAATCGGCAACCTGCTGCCTCAGCCCCCGCTGAGCTTGTCAGGCTCCCAAACCCGCCCTTCCTGTGCTTGCCGTGGTGCCTCCTACGCCCGTGCAGTTTTGGGCAGCTGCTCCCGACCGGAGCACGACACGGATAGCGCGCTTGTCTGAGTCGTTCGTTACCCTCTTTCCCGCTCGCCGCCTCGCCCGTATATAGCTGCGTGAAGCTATTGCCGTGAGCCGTTTGCCTAAGCTCATGGGTTGGCAGGAAAGGGTGCGCAATGTGTTTGTGTTTGTTTGATTTTGTGTGTATTGCAGTGCGCCCACGACGACGAAACCACCTGCGGGTGGATCCCTTAAGATTAAGACGAAACCACCTGCGGGTGGATCCCTTAAGATTAAGATTAAGACCCAGGGCCCAGGTGGTGCGCGTCCGAGTCATAGGATCTTTGAAACTCCTTTTAGAAATGTGGGTCACGATTATCTGGGCCGCACTCTGGATCGTGGAAACTACACTTCTGCAACTCCGTGTTACAGAAGTAGAAACCAGAACCCGAGGGGCCCACCCAACACGAGCGGGGCACAGCTGGGCCTCCCTGTCCTTTGATGCTGTCTGCAGCGCCGAGCCACCAACCTCACTGTTACCTTGCATAGGAATATCAAGCGACGATGCGATGCCGACCCAACCGTCCATGCTACGCTCTTTTGGTCTCGGCATTTGCGAGACCGCCGCCGAGCCGGCCCAGGCACTGCCATCGGCGGTTGGTGAGCATTTGGTAGCAATGAATAGCGAACGCAAACCACTATATCCTAGCCCCTAGCACAAAAAACTCGAGTTGGGGATGCGCCCCCCAAGATGAATGCCCTACCTATCAACAGTTATTCGCTAATTGACCGAGACGCCCGTCCTGCAATGCCTTCCCAACATGTCTTATACACCTACGAAGCGGGGATAGGAGATTGCATAATCAATTGCGCCAACGATGCTGCATGGCGGCTGTTACCATGGGAAAGGCAGTTCCTATGACAGCAAGCCAGAGCACACCAGATCAGGCCCTCTCGCACTAGTGGAAGCACAGCGACCCGCAAACGGCCATCTAGGCTGTAAAAATTCCAATGTTGTGGACCGTGCGCACGTGGATGCACACGCACTCACACGCACGTGCCACCGTACCTACCTGCGCATGTAGGCCCTCCCATCTCGCCACGAGCCGCCACACATGTACACACACACCCACACGCCCACCGCATGTGGGTCGAATGAAACTCCTTTTCTTTCCATAACCCAACACTTACATACAAGCGGACAGACCGTCAACCCAGCAAATCATGTAAGACACGCAAACAGCATATGCCACTTTAATTGTCCGCATTTATGAATTTTGCAACGCTGTATCCCTACCGTTCTTTGCTTGGACTCACCCTCCTTTGCTCCCATGCGCCGAACGCGCAAAAGCACGGCCATCAAAAACCACGCTCCAGAAGAATTGGGACGGTTCACCGCCGGGAGGGAAGGATGGAAACCGCTCAACCGAAATGGCAAACAGCGCAGTCACGTCCATCTCACCCCTTCCAGAAACATCCTCGCTTCTTTGTCGCTGTCGACGGAATCAATGTCATGCCGCTGTGCAGCAGCACAGCATTGGAGGGCATTGGAGGAAAGGCCAATCCTGCCACGGCGCGCCGCGTAGCTGGCGGTGTTTCTTAGGACCTGGTTACCCATGCGCTCTCCAGCCGCTGCCCTGGATCTAAATCTGAGGAAGGAAATCCTGCTCATTGCGTTGCTTTTGGTTTTCTGTGATCCTGACTTAGCCTTTCTGGCAATGATGTCCGATGGTGGCAACCCTGGTGATGCACTTCGTAATTACGATGACCTGAAAATACTGAGAAAAGTGCTTGATGCGGTGCTGCAGTGGGCGCCGCGGCGTGGCGGGTTCGGAGCGTTCCTGCGTTCCAGGACATTCTCTGACCCGCGCCATGGAGAGGATGAAAAGACTAGTGAGACCAGACTGGGTTTGCGGCCTCAATTTACGCCAGCCCCGGAGGATTTGAGGCGGCCTTGCCAGCCCCATCCGCGTAATGTGCAAGATGTGCTGTGCGGCACGGCAGCAGCGCCGCCAGCTTCTTGCTCTTCAGCACGAGCGCCATCTTGCCACCTTCTCCAGCCATACGACTAAAAGCGAGAAGGGGCTTTTGACACGTTGTATACATCCATGGTAATCCGATGTACATGGTTCTCCTTATTGACTTTTTACACTTAAACACCACGTGTGCGAAACGCCGCCACTGATGCCGTACAATGAGGTGGCGCCTCCACGAAGATCCCGCCGATGATGCACGACGCTCCGATATTGTGCCATGGACAAGGTGAGCAGCTCCGGCCGGCACGCTGCCGCCGCCGCGGCGGTACCTCCCTAGCTGGCGGACAGCATGGCAGGCGACACGCAGGAAGGCAGGCAGGCGGGCGGGCGGAGAGCAAAGCCCTGCAGCATCGCGCAGCAGCAGCCATTCTGCCCCCTGCCCCTCCCTCCAAACCCACTCACCCATGCCCCTTACAGGTACAACATCATGCCGCCCGGGAGCAGCATCGGCCCACTGCCGTCACCGCCCACTCCGCCAACATCGTCGTCGCCGCCGCCAACGACCTTACCTGCTGCTGCGGCGCTACCTCTGTCCCCCTCAGCAATGCTTGAGCCTCGCAGTTGCTCGGAACCACCAGGAAGAGAGCTACTCGAAGCCGCAGGTCCGGCGGGGGCCCCACCATGCGCAGCTCCGGAACCTCCATTCCCTAGCGACGCGGTCTCCCTTGGACCATCCGTCATCAACGCCGCTGCCGCTGCACCGGGGTCCTCGACGTCCGCGTCGAAATAACGAAAGCCGCCACGTCGGCGCTTGGGCGCTTGCAGCGCCACGCCAGCGAAGAATAAAACGGGCGGCTCACCTGCCGTCGCGGCTGCGCTCGTGCCGGCGCCGCTACCGCCGTCGCTTAATCGCCGTTTGCGGACCCGTCCGCCCGCCGGTGATGCGACAGCGGGAGCAGCGGCGGAACCGCCGCTGCCGCCGCCGGCGGCGCTGGCGGTCAACAGCCTGGCGCGTTCACGGGCCATTCTGGCGGTCAGATGCAGGGCGGGGCAAGTAGCACCGCGGGGACAGTAGCTGTGCAGGAAGGCACGGCACGCCGGCGCGTTCGTGGCGTGGTTCTTGTGGAGATAGGGGCACTCCACTGCGGTGCACTTGCCCTGGAATAAGGGAAGGGGGTTAAAACACACGGCGGGGGCAAAACGGCAAGGGAGGGGAGCGAACAAAAGGGCGGGAGTCCGGGCACCGGGAGGAGGGCGGAAGGAACGAAGCGGGCAGAGCGAGGGACCTGCCAGGGAAGGGAGCGGGGCCAGCATGTCCGCACGTGGAGGCTCGGGGCAGACATCCCACCCACCCATCCCCATCCCTCACCTGCAGGAAATAGCTGCACAGGGGCATGAGGTCGGGCAAGCGGCGGTGCTGTAGATGGCAGTCCGCAACGGTGCAGCCGCCAGCTAGCCAGCGTGAACAAACCGCCACCTTGGTCGGGTCGTGGGTGTGAGGGCAGCGGCCGCCAGCAGGATGCCGTGACAGAGCGCACACGCCCGTCCTGCGGCGGCCGAGGCAGGGGGGTGCTCAGGGCGGCCAGCGTGGAATGCGGGCAGCGGCGTTATACCTGGCGCAGGTAGTGCCCATGCAATGGCGGGGGAGCACTAGCACACTGGAAACGGGCATGCCTCGGGACAACGTACCTGCAGTAGTCAGGGCAGTAGCCGCGGGCCTTGGTGGCCTGCGCGGCCGCACGCCGCATGCGGGCTTTGGCCAGGATGCGCTGCGCCGCCGCGGCTCTAACACTGGCACCGCTACCGGCGACCTTGCGCGCACGGGCGGTGGCCGTTGCCGCCGTCGCTGCCCGTGTCAGCAAGCCAGTCATTGCGGATGCCGTCACTGCCGCCACGGGAGCTGCTGCTGGACGCGTCGATATGCCCAACAGAATGCGCCGCCGTGCAGCCGCTGCCGCGGCGATGGCCGCTGCCGTCGGACTTGTGGGATCGAGGCCGCGTCGCCGCCAAACCGCCTTCCGGACCGCCTGCGAAGCCATGGCCACCCGCCGCGGCGCTGCCGTTTGGGGCAATCGTCGTGCTGCCACTGCCGTTGCCGCTGCCGCCGCCGCAGCGGCGGCCTTACCAGCGATACTCCTGAGCGAATGCAGCTGCCGCCGGCCCTCCCCACTACCGGCGCCTCTGACGCCACCATGACCCGCGGTGTAGTACTGCTGACCGTTGACGGTTACTAGTTTCAACGACCTCCCGGCAGCCCGTCCGGAGGCTGCGGCCCCAGGAAATGCCCGCCTCTGCTGCTGTTGCGGATACCGCAATACCTTCACAGACATGGGCGCCGCCACCCGAACACGAGGTGAGGGCCATACGTTACGGGTCCCAAGCCGCCTGTGAGCCAGGCCGGCCCCATCCGCACCACCACCACCGCCACTGGCGGCGGGGCCGGCGGAAGCTGCGTCCAGGGACACGGAAGCGGAGGAGCCGCTCTGCGTCGGCATAGAAACAACTGCTGCTGTAGGCCCCGGCGCCGTGGCCACCACTGGCCACAGCCTTGAATGGCCCACCCTCAGCAGGATCGGCCCCTGGTGTGGACGCCGCTGATGAACTTCCCCGCCGGTAAGTGCTGGAGGACTGGTCACGGATGATGTTGGTGCCGCGGCGCCGCTCGCAGCGGACATGGTACTAGTGGAAGCGCTGGTGGCGGCGCCGCCGCCGCCGGGTACGACAGTGGCTGTCTCCCTGGGGTTTAAAGTCGCTCCAGCCCCTTTGGCAGCCGCAAGGGCGCCAGCAACACCGCTCACTCGCCGGCGCCAGATAAGCCGCCCGCGCCGCGGCGGCGCGACCACCAACAGGCGTGCCGCTGCCCCTGCTTTCGGCACCCCACCGGTGGCGGCAGCAGCAGTCACAGCGTAGCGCTGGACCCGTAACAATGAGCGTTGTGACGTTACAGGCGGCGGCCCCGCCTGCTGGCTACCTGCTTGCGCCCTCGTCGCCGCCGATGCTGTTGCCGCTGCATGTGCTCCAAACAATGCCTCCCTCGGTGCCCCGCTACTGCTTGCACTCGCTGTGGGACCGTCCTTGCCGCTGCTACTGCGGGCGCCCCCGGAGCTCCAGCCTTCTACTGCAGGGCCCACGCCTGCAGTGGCGCCGCCAATCTCACCAGCAAGATTTCTAGGTCTAATCACACCGCTACCGCCATTAGGCGCCGCTGCACATGGTGGGGCCATAACACCACGACCAAGGCCAGACGCCCCTGCCGCCGCAGCAGTCGCCACCATGGGTACAATCACGGTACTAATCATGGTACTCTGCCCCCCAACGCTGCACAGCGCCGCCGCCGCGGCCGCCTTGCGAACCAGCTTGTGCCTGCCGGGCCGTAGATACTGGCCACCAGGCGGTAACGGCGCCGCCATCAGCGCCTCCGCTGGCACGGTGGCGTCAGCTGCCCTGGACAAGGACCGTCTCCTCTTGGCAGCAGCCGTTCCCCCCACGGTGGGCCCATGCGAGATCAACAGTCTCTCCGTCGCCCCCGCCACCCTCACCGCAACTGGTCGTGGTGCTGCCTGCAAGGTCCCAGCTCGTCGGTGCACCGAGGCCGTTGCTTTACCTGGCGCCAATCTGCCTAAGTTGGTTGCAGTGGCGGCTCGCAGTCCTGCTCCTACTGCTTGCGCTTCTGCTGGTACTTCTGCGACTGCTGGTACTGCTCGTTGAGTGCGTGTGGGTCGTTCCAATGCTGTTAGCGCGGTACTTGCTGGTGTCGTTGCGGGGTGCGGTCGTCGTGGAGCTTTACCGCCGGGAGGCGCTGTGCCTCCTGCGACAGCTTGAACTGGTGGTACTGCTGCTGCTGCTGCCACTGCAGCTGCTGCCGCCGCCGGCAACGCAATCACACGAGCAGACGCCGTGACGGCCTTTGCTGTTCCAAGGTCCCTGACAGCCACTGCAGCATCAGCATCACACACAGCCCCATCAGCAGGCATCTGTCGCTTTACCTCGACATGTTGGCGGCTTCCTAAACTTACGTCCTTCCCTTCGTTCCTCGCCCCAAGCTTTGCGCCTGCCAACGCCTCTAGAACGGCATCTGCTTCAGCAATAGCAGCAGCAGTTTCAGTTTCCCCAGACCCCAGCCCCATACGCCTGGCCGCGGTCGCAGTACCTATGGCTGTGGTGGCGGCACCGGGTTTACCGCCATCGTCGGGTAAACTGCGAGACCGGATGCCAACACCAGCGCCAGGTGCTGCAACATTGCCACTGTTGAGGTTGGAATGTGACCCAGATGCCGGGAGGCGAGGAGGCAGCTGCGCGGTGGCTTGGGTAATGGCCACGGTAGCCTTGCGGCCTGGGGTGGTGCTGGCCGCTGCCGTAGCCAGGGACGCCCCGCCGGATGCGGAAGAACCGGGGCGGACACTTGCAGCGGCCGGCCTTGTACCACTTGCAACAGGAAGAGGAAGTGGGGCCTGCATGTCGGCACCTCGGACCCATACCCGCCGTGCGCTGTGGGAGGCAGGTCCGCCGGGCTGAGCCTGAACCTGAGAGTTCGGTACTTGGGCTCCGTTCGGTGCTGCTTTCGCTGCAACTGATGCAGCACCCATTGCCATCCGGGGTGCTGGTGGCGGTCGTGGCGGTGTTGCTGTTCTTGGGGCAGCGGCACCGCTTGATGGAAAGGCGGAAGAATGCAAAAGTCGCGGCACCGTGGCGGGGTTCAGGTGTGAAGTTGGGCCTGGGACGGGAAGCACCAGGCGGCCTTGGCGTTGCAGGCGCCGCTGCATCGCCAGAAGCTCGGAAGGCCGGGTTCCTGCTTTGGGCAGCGCACGGCCGCCTGCTTGTGTGCCGCTAAGGGGGCCGGCAGTGGCTGAGGTTGTTGGCACGGATCCATGCTGCTGCGGCTCTTCGCGCAACCACACTCGTCGCTGAGCACCAAGATTGAGGAGCTGGTTTGGCGGGGCTGTTCCTGCAGGTTGTCGTGGGAAAGTCAACCGCGCCGAAAGTAGTGGAGCACCAGCACCGGCCGTTAGGCTGAGAGCTTTGGCCCGTGTAAAAGCTTGCTGGTCGGAGTCAGAACCAGTGCCTGCGCTGCTTAGGGTGCGCCCCTGGCGGGCATCTTCAACTGGAGGTTTAACCTTGGCCGGGTTACCTGCCACGGCGTTCAAGAGCCCTGGGCTGATGCATCTGAGGACTGATTTCAGGGCACTCAGCAGGCAAGCGAGCTTTCATTGCAACGAGGTGAATATAACTTCATAAAGCATTTCCGCTAAAGCATTTCCGCAAGAAACAAGATGCACAACACTCGACCAACCACAAAGTAGTACCTGGGGTGCTTTGAGCCACCGACGAAAGTACTTCTATGGGACCCTCATTTGACAGCCGCGGTCGTTTGCTGCACTGCATCAATTATTACGAGTTGGGAAGCCCAACCCTGTACACTTAACCAAAGAGTACAACGTGGCACCCTCTTATCCAAGTCACTATCAATCCATGTATTTATCGTAACGCACACATACAATTGTTATATGTATGTGAAACGTCCCATCCGGCGCTAGGGCAAACTAGCATAACCTTCTTCTGACCGTGTACGTCACCCGTGCGTGCCCTTCTGACAAGTGGTTTCGTGGCTTCTAGAGGTCTTTTCAGTCTTCAGATGGCGACTGGAAGGTCTGCTCGCGAGACCGATGCCGGTGCCGGCCAGCCGCGGAAAGCTTCACATCAAACGCAGCCCGATGGACCCCACTTCCATGCAGGAACCTGCCCCTGTACCCCACCCACATGCCTCTGAACCCTTTACAAAAGGGAGCCGTGGCACTCCTATCAGCCTTCGGCGCACTAATGCGGTACGTGCCCCGGCCGGTACCGCAGCGATGCTGGCGTCCCATCATCTCATGGCCTTCTCCAGCCTTCACCTGAGCCTAAACGCTACCCGAATCCCTAAGCGCTTCCCCCGCCGCGCTTCCCCTGTAAGGCCCGCGCGCGCTGATCTGGTCGCGGCTGTGGGCGAGACCACCGGTGAGTGGCTCCTGCCATCCATTCGAGACCGCATGCGCCGAGACCCGGTGGGGGAACGAATTCTCGCGGAACGACCCCGAGTGACGGTGAGGGGGGAGCGCCGGGGAGGCGGGAAGGCTGGGGGGCCCGGGAAAGGGGTAAACGGAGAGGAGAGCTCCGGCAGCCCAGCTCAGATCTGAGCTCATCATGGGCGGACGTCCTAGTCAAGTGTGAGGGTGGAACCCGGGGGCCGGGGTTAAGTAATCAGTCCGAGAGCTGTGGAGCCTTCCATGTAGTGGAGTGATGCCTCACAGTGGCGGCGCCCTATGTATCTATAAGATGGGTGGCTGTGTTTGGCGCACTACACACAGAGGCACTGAACACTGGGCAGTGCTTCTTCGGTTGAGCCTTACTAATCTCACGACACCACGCCGCGAACACGACATCGCGGTCGTTGTGCATTTTGCGCTTCAACCTGAGCGGCTTCCCCTTCTTCCTCCAACCGCCATCGTTCAATAACGCCTACTGGTCACAGTTCTGCTTCTTGTACATTCTTTCCTTGGCAGCAGCTTCACTCGTTGGTGGTTCGTCTTTCCCCCCACCATCCACACGCACACTAGACCCCGTAGCCCCTTTTTTACACGTATACACACGCACACTGGGTGGCTTTCTTCGTCCTCGTAGAGGTGATGTGGACTTGGATGGTTTTCCTCCGGCATCGCACCTTCTCTCGCCTTTCTTAGCGTCTCAGTAACATAAACATTCTCGCCCTCACCCTCACCTCCTATTAAACATATACACACACACGCGCGCACCTGGGGGTTCCCGAAACGCCCACTGGGGCGAATCTCCCAGGACGCCACCCTGGCGCTGTGTCGTGACATGCCCCCGGGTAGTTTCGGAGCGGCCTACGCCAAGTTCATGGGCGACAGGCGCTTCAGTGCGGATGAGCGGCCACCTGTGCGGTGAGTTAGATGAATGCCGTCCTGACCTCGAGGGCTAAACCGCTTAGGAACCGTTGTAGGCCCTTTCGCCGCTTGGGAGCAGCCTGTATGGGGGCGCCTGCGTTTGCCTCTGCAGCTCCCAGATCTGCAGATCTGGGTTTCTCCTCCTCCTCCTCTCTCTCTTATCTGTTTGTGCCCTCGTCTTAGGACTTTTCAGTGCTTCGACTCCGCATGCATGCATTTTCACTTCCCGCCCTCCACCTGGCATCAGCTTCACTCGTTCGTGGTTCGTCCTTCCCGCCCTCCACCTCCATCTGTATTCGATGGAAGCTTCTAGATATCAGTGATACTTCAAAGTTCATTGTAGAGGGGGTGCTGCACGTTTCCTCCGGCATGGTCTTCCACAGGTTCCTGGATGATGAGGAGCTGGCTTACGTCATCACTCGAGCCCGGGAGGTGCATGACTTCTGGCATGTGCTGTTCGACTGCCACACGAATGTGTTTGGGGAGCTGGCGCTCAAGGGGCTGGAATTCGTACAGGTAGGAAGTGTACGGATGTACGGATTTCCTTTTTGACAAGCTGAAGCGGGGGGGGGGGATATAGGTAGGCGGATGTGCTGATATGTGCCGATGCCAGTCGGGTGTCCTGACATAGGGAGCGCAGACTGGTTGAAGTGAGGAAATGGAACGTCCTGGAGAGAACGGAGCGAACCTCTGGAGGTGGCGCGCGCGTGCGTGCCGGTGTGTGAAGCAGGGGGTGGCGCTCGTGTATCTATCCGTCCGTGGGTGCTTTCTTGTATATGTGTCCATATGTGCCCATGTATGTGTGTACATATGTATGTATATATGTGGCCTCTCCGTGCGGTTGCTGGCTGCAGGGGGCCCGGGAAGGGGGTCCCCTGCGCATCAGAACATCTGCCCGTACTTGCCCACTTACCTTCAATAACATATGCAGCTCTTCAAGGTATCCCTTCCAACCGTCCAATTAGGGTTATTTGTTCCCTGCGTTTACGGGACACGACCGATGCCAATTAACCCGCATCCTTCATCACTCATTCCTTCATTGCCGAATGCATGGACATTTAAGCCACCCAAACTTCCCTTTTTGAGGTTGACCTTTTGCATCTTGCATGTAAACTCTCACCTTTCTCCTTCCGAAAACCGCCTCACCCGTTCCCCTCCTGCCTCCTCCCATTTCCCTGTGACTGCCAGACGGGTCTGCCCATGACGGGTCTTGCAGTTCTCGGGGCGCAATACCGCCTGAACTCCGCCGACCGAGAGCTGCTGCAGCGGCACTACCTGCCCTGGGCGCTGAGGGCTGGCAGCCGCTGTGCCGACCTGATGTGCATCTACTACGAGAAGCACTTTCAGGTGGGGCACCCCGGGTGGGGCGGCGGAGGTGAGGTTGCGGTTTGGGTCAGGTAAGAGAAGGTCTGCCTGGCAGGCACTGGTTTGCAGGGCGCTTTGCTGACTGGCATCGCATCAGCATGTCCGAGCACCGCTTCACGTTTAATTTTTTTTGAGTTTCCTGTTTGGGAACTTCCCAACACACCAAGGCAATATTCGGAAAATAACAGCAGCATGAGTTCTGGAATATGAATAGACATGTTGCTGGCACACACACTTATTATCTCGGCGTGCGTGTTATGGATGGTTATTTCTCGGTTTGCACGCGCTTTGGTCGGAGTCGCCTTTGACACCGGGTCGCCTCTTGATGTCTCTCCGTCCCTCTCCCCCCCGCTCTCTTGTCCACTTAACCACTTAACCCCATTGCGCCGGTTGGAAAGGACCACCTGGAAGACGTACGGCGGGAGCACCGCATCATCCCGGCACCACAACCGCCCCAGCACCTGAGATTCAAGGGACTCAAGTCGAGCAAAACTTGACAGCTCATTGTCACCTGACGCAACCGCTGAGTGGTCAGTCTTCGCAGGGTCGGTTGGTTGGTGGGTTTCCACAGCAGCAGCATGACCTGTCCGTGTGGTCTGACCCGCGGGACGGCAGAACCCGCTTGAGCCCCGACGGGAGTGTTGAGAGGGATGCGGATTTGGCGGCAACGCGAAGCAGCACATTGTCCCCAGGACCCGGCGCTGATCCTGTGCTGGCCCTGCGCCTGGCGCCATGCCTGCCATACCGTTCAGCCATGGGTGGAACACGGGAAGGAAGAGCCGCGACTTGCTGCTGTGTGTGGGACACTACTGCTGCTGCAGCTGCTCATGGAGAGATGTGTGTTTGTGTTTGTGTTTGTGTGTGTGTGTGTGTGTGTGTGTGCCAGATAAGTAGCAACCAGCAGTTTGCAAAAAATGCTTGTCGTAGGCGGGTGGATTTTACCGCGGTGGTGGCGGCATGAATGTAACCGTAGGTACCGGAGGTAGCAAATATGCTAAGGCGCGGCATAGTGCCTCTTACAGTGACACCTGCCAGCCGACCAGGACTGGAGTTGACGCCGCCATTGAACCGGCTGATTCCAATTGATGCTGGTGGTGGGTACTGAATCCGAACAAGTCACAGCCTTCAGTCGGCATGGGTGAGAAGGAGGATGTGGGTGCCCCAAGACATCGGGGAAGGTAGAGACTGCCAGGCTAGCGGCCACGGAGCGAAGCTATACCCCGCTAGTTCACACAATCGTATAAGCATGGTACGACGGCCTGCCGTTGCGTTGTGCGGACTGGGTTTATGTTAAACTGTAACCTTGCGGTGTGAGATGGTCTCGATGCTGATAGGGAAATTGGCCGGACTTCCGCAGTAATGAAGGGCTTTGTGCCTTTTTCTCGGGCCCCATATGGTAGGCTCTCGCATCGAGGCTGGTACTTCCTTGCTACTGCTGTTGCTGCTACCAGTAGCCTTAAACCCCCGGGCCGATGGCATGACCGCATGGAGCACAGCGAAGGGGTAATGTGTTTTTGCCGAGGAAATGCCGTGTTGAAGGGTTGTCTCTGAATTGCTCGCCTTTACCACCAATACATACAAGGGACGCGAGGATGCGCTGTAAGGTATTACCGCCAATTTTCTACAAATATGCCTGCTAAGCACGACGCACAAGCAAGGTGGTGTGTACAGCTCGCCCCTTCTGTGCAGCTGCAGCCATTGACACCTTGAAGCGAGATGCAAGCGAGATCGTGGCGAGATTACTAGCTGGGACTTACGCTAATGGGTGCGGTCATACTGCCTCACCGCGCAGCGATGCCTGGAGCCAAGCGCTCTCCGCAGACCATAGCATCGCACATGCGGGGCTCCTCAACAAGGAAATATTAAATCGCTGAGCTCCCGATGCGGAAACGCCACCCAGATGGTCATATCCGTAGCGAATTCTTCCTTCCTGCCGCAGTGTTCTGTACAGTTTGCGCGACGTCAGTCATCTACGTGCTCCCATGGTGCTGTCGAAGTTTTCTTACGGAACACGGCTGCCCTGGCATGCGTGGCCATGCCACAAGCATAGACATACACTAACAGATCTTATACTGTACAATATTACACGCATTCTTGGACGGTTGCGCCCGTATATTCAAATGATTGGATGACATCTGAGGCGTTCGCTTGTGTTTCCTGCGTATATAACGTTCTTCTTCGCAGAAGAGCAATTGAGTCAATCCTCTCTCCTACACCCCTCCGTGCAACACGCCGTCCAGCTTATTCTCTCGTCAGCCCACACCATGGGATCTACGACTGCAGCTAGTGCCATATCACGGATCAGGTGCAACCAGGTAAGAAACACGAAGAGCTCTCATCACAAGCAGTGTGTATGGCGGCCTCCTGTCTTAACACACTCCTGCGTGCAATCGCCTTCATGCGCGAATAGCCACGTTCTTCGCCTTGCAGGTGATAAGCAGCGCCTTGTAGCGCGCGACGTCCTTTTGATGGTTGCCCGAGTTGAGGTTGACCAGGGCGTTGATCTTTTCCCAGGGCGTGCCGCTGAGGGGCACCTCCACCTCCTTCTGATGCGCCTCCGACTTGCGGTTGTTGGCCTTGCGCTGGGTCAGCGTAGTGGTGCGCACCTGTGGAAGACCAGAGGCGAGTATGCGCGGGGGCGTCAGATAGGGCAGAATACCGGACTGGGAGAAGCTGCGAGAACGGATGCGAATGCTGTGCCTCACCAGCGTCAGGAACAGCCTACCGCAGCAATGGCGATGATCATTTGACCGAGATGCAAGGAAAAGGTTGGTGGCACCGGCACAAACCATATCAAGGTGAGGGGAAGGAAACGCCCGCCGACTTGGGAGACGCAGATGGCAGGGTGCGAGTTTGGTGTCAAACAAAACATGGGTTCAGAGATCCTTCGACCCGCCCAGGCGCTGCGATGTGCGCGCCCTCACGTGTGAAAACGAGTATCGCGTAGGACCAAGGCCAGGTTACCCACCTCGTAGTACTTGGACAGGTATTGTGCCGCCGTGCCCTTGAGTTTCTCCTTGCAAGCTGTCTCCTCCGCGTCCTTCTTCTTCAACTGCACATGCAAATATTCGCGCAGGAAATCCGCCCCGTACCATTGAGTTTCCAGCGTGGTGTTTTGCAGCAACCGGAATCACAAACGCTCTCCCGCAACTGGCCCCCATCTGCAGCAAGCCGCGTGGAAGACATGCTCCCTTGCGACAGCCGCTGAAGCTGGAGCCAATCTTACCAGCTCGTTGTTCTGTTTGCGCCACTCCACGCGCGGGTCAACAACCTCAGGCGCCGGTGACGGTGCTGTTGGGGCCGGGGGCGTGTAGTGCTCGAAGAACGGATCCTCGTCCGCTATGCCGCCGGCGCTGGTGGCAGTTGCCGCGGCATCGTCGATGGGAAAGGGTGGGGGAGCGCTTGCAGGGACCGCGGAGATGAAGTCCGCTGCCAGCCCCTCAGCGGCGGGAACCCGGTCTGAGCCGCTAAAAAAATCCTCCAGGCCGTTCACCGCCGACGTAGACCCATATGGCGCTGCGTAGTCCGCGACTGGAGCTGCAAAGCTGTCAAAGCCATTGGCGCTCCCTACGGGCGCAGCTTGGAACTGCGCAAGCATGGGGCAAAGGGAGAGATGATCACATCGCGCTGCTGCGTTAATATGACCAGCCTAGGATTATCCAATCGGAAGAAAAAAATGGGCATGTCAACAGGCTCTTCGTGGATACAATTGAGTCAGCCCAATTCTTCGCCAGCCGTGTCTCGAGACCAAGGGCTACCGATAATCTGCAAGCATGTCTTGCGCAGCATGCTTGTAAGCTTGCCTGGGAGTCCTCAAACTCCATGGCCCGTTCCACAGATAACACAGATGATCGGACTTCTGAAAGCTGTTTCCAGCAATGGGATGTTTACAGCAATTACAACAAATGTACTAGTTGTCAACTTAGGGTTTTTCTCGACTTCCAACGAACGGGTCGAACTGTTGTGCCTTAACTGTTAGGTTCCGGCAGTTGTCGTAGTGTTGAAATTGTGAAGTGGGTGCTGTAACGACGCAAATGCCAATCTGAGCATCCCGGGTTACGCCTTTGCTGTGTTACAATGGTATCGAGACGGGACCGCACGAATTCCGAAATAAACTTCGGGTCGGCGGTTCGATTCTGGCAACCAGCAAGTCGCAAATTGGCGATTTCATGGTGTAATGGATAAACCAGCGCACTGGCGCGAGGTGGGATGGCTCCTGTGCTCGAAATAATGGCCGAGGACGTCCATTGCTAAGTGGGGGGCAATGTAACGACGCAAATGCCAATCTGAGCATCCCGGGTTACGCCTTTGCTGTGTTACAGGTGCCATCCTCAAGTCTCTGCGATTTAATCGAAAGTTCCATGGGTACCCAAGATTGCTCTTATGATGCGCAAAGACGGCGTCAGCTTGAGGAGCAGGTGCAAACCCTCCGCGCTGAGGCGAGTTGAAAGGCTGCCTTTAGGGCACACAAGCTCTTCCATTTTTCCTTTCTTGGGGGTTACTCTCCAAGATTCTACTGTCCAATTACATTTTTCGGGCGTTTGTAGGTGAACGCGCTTGAGGTGAAGCTCGGCGACCTACACGCCACCGACGTCTCAAGCCTTAGGTAAGCCCCATGCCGCTGCGGCACGAGCCACCATACCCAACGGAAAAGGTGTTCCCTCGTCCGTGGCACGCTAAAAATGTTTTCAGAAAACGTTTCATGCACCTTTCCAACTTTCCCAGTGGCAAATACCTCGCTTTCTAAGCATGACAGCAGTAATTTGGTATCTGCCATAACACCCGCTGTACCACACTGCCCAGCAGCCAACCTGCATGGCCAATGCTCCCAACCGAGAAACCGGTCCCGATAAATCGCCTCTTATTGGCCCAACCTGCTGTTTGCATCAACTAGAGCTTTGTCCGCGTGGCTATCCATCAGTTAGCTGCATCCTTTTCTTTAGGGGCAAGGAATGGGCACCCTCCCCAAACCACCTTTAACCGCTGCCCATGCAGGCGAGCATACAAGACCCTTGCGCAGCATGTACAGGCTCTAGATGTGGAGAGCAAGGCAAGTGAACAGACGGGCATCTGTTCGTCGCCAGTGAGGCGCATAAGAGGACGGGGATGACCCGTGGGTCGCTCGGGTCGCGCGTTGGACCGAGGGCCCCCCCGACGCACAACACATTCCCCTCGCCATTCTAAGCCATATCCAAAAAGCTACCTAGGTTGCACGCAGAGATGTGGTGCTCCCCATATTTTGGAATGTAGCTAAATTACTGTCGAGTCTCGCCGTTACAGAGTTTACAGTGTTTCCTCGTACATAATCGATGGCGTCGTGTCCGCCGCGTCCCTCCGCCCCAGGTGCAGTTGGGTCGTGTGCGGTGCCGCGCCAGCGGTTTAACGTCCTCTGCGGCGAGATGCGGCTCCCTAAGCTGCCGCGTACATTTCACGTAGAGTCCCCTGCGAGTGCTGTTGCACGGGAGCGCCCCGGCGACCCCGGCGCGAGCCGAGGGTAGAAATTCATCCACGGCTGTAACACACACTCCCGCATGCCTTCCTCGCAGCTCCAACGATTTCTTACCGCCTTCCCCGTGCTCGGGCTCCATAACTGCCTGGCCCCCATGACAGTGTCTTCTCCCCAGGATGTTATCACTACCCTTCACCATCGCCATTTCGTTCACCCCTGTCCCACCCCTTCGTGATACCTACCCGCTTTCCCGCTCTTCTTCTTCTTCCTGCTCCAGCATCTCCCCTCGCTTCTGGACAAGACCAACGCACCCTCCGTGACTTCCGACTTCGTGGCGCAGCAGATACAGCGACTGGCGGCTGCAACGGCGGCGGTGTACGCAGTCGGAAGGCTGCTGCGAGCGTTACGAATTCCGGTGGGGTGTGGGTGCCCAGCTGGGCGCCGTGTGAGTGAGAGTGGGTGGACGCGCATGTGGATGCAGGGTGTGTGTGTGTGTGATGGAGGAAAGCAGACTCTGGCAACATCCCCAGGGTGGTGGGGGATGAGGAGTTATGAGTCGCATGAAGCTCGAAGAAAAAAACGAATTGCCTACCGGTATCTGCTTCATTCGCCAGTGGTTCGTCTTAGATCACTAGAGCCTGGGGGCTGAAGTGGGGTGTGAGTACATGCCGGGACCCCCGTCGACCTCTGGTCCTCTATCTCCTGGGGGCCGCGCTACCCCGTGATCCCCTTGGTCCCCTCCGAGAATGATGAGTCACCCGCCGCGGGTGAGTCGCAGATGACCGCCCCCTTTTACCGGCCCCTTCAGCACTCGCAGTGTCACATACGCCGCTTCCTCCCTGCGCGCCCCATTCCTCACCCGGTTTTATGCCTGTCACACTGCCTTCGACCTGTGCAGCAACATTCAGCAGCATCACTCGTATGGCATAGCTGCCCATTTCTCCCGTGCCAACTCCATCAATATACTGCCGCGCGCGTGCCGTTTTCAGCAAGCGTTAACTTCCCTCTTTTACATTTTGGCAACTCCTAGTTTACACTCAATGGCCGTCGACTTGCCCGCTTACCTTCTCGTCTGCAACCCTTGGGCACTGCGGGGCGGCATGCACGTGCTCCTAGTGCGCCCCTAGAGGCTGGTGGGAGCCGGGTGTGGCCCCGGCCCGGCCCGCGCTTACTCCCTTTAGCCGGTCTGGGCCGAGCGTCAATGCTTTGCATTTCTTTCGTTTCTTTCCTTCCCATGCATTCTCCTGTAACATACGCCTATGATGCTTGCCCTTCTTCTTCTTCGCTCCGAGAACCTTGTTCTTTATCCTTGTACGACCCTGCTTTCCTTGCCATTCGGCTTTCCAAATAAGGCTTATTCGTTTTGCCCTATAGTCACCTTCCTTAATAACAGTTCTTTCCATTCAGCATCATTTTGCATGCCTTCTCCTGTTCGGTTTCTTGCTGCTCACAAACCGTTTTTCTTTCTTTCGCATGCCTGCCCGCTGCCTCTGCCGCTTGTGCCGCCTGACCAGCTGAGTCCTTGCGGTTCCGAGCTTAGTCGTTTGTTTCGCGCTAAGCCGGCGAGCTCGCTGGGTTGGGTTGGTCGGGCCAGGGGCGTGTTAGCTAGGGGGGAGGAACACTTGCATGTCAGCTAGCAGCGCAGTACGAAAATATCAGCAAAAATCTTTTAAGGAGTTCCGTTTTTTTGTTTCGTGTACCGCTGTCCCAGAGGTGTACACTTCGCTGTATTACTACGCATGTATGTACAAGTTACAAGTTACAAGTTCCGCACGCAAGTGCGGGTGTGTCCGTAAAAGCGGGGGGGGCCATGTGGGGTCAACAAAATTGGATTTGACGCGGGTACGCGGGAGAGGCCATCATTATCCTCCCTCGTTCGCTTCAGGGCGAAGCGCGTCAACGCCATGTTGTAATCCTAGATGTCTGATGATAAAATGTAAATTCGCTGAAATAATTTAATGGAGCTTACCGGGTTCGAACCGGTGGCCTCACGCATGCAAAGCGCGCGCTCTACCACTGAGCTAAAGCCCCCGTATATACGTGCTGTGCCACATTAAGGCGGCGGGCCGCACAACTGCTGGGCTGGCGTTGCTCGGTCTCTGCTACACGGGCGTGCGGCTGGTGGCGGCGACTGTGCAGCGGCTGGGTACGACGGCGGCGCGGCGGCGGCGTGCACGGGATGAGCTGCGCCGCGATCTTCGAGCATTGCGGGAGCGCGTGCAGGTGGGGATCGTATTGCTGGGGGCCTTATTGGCGGATGTCATAATGGCGTTACATTGATGAGCCGGGTGACTGACTGCATTGCAGTGGATGAATCATTGCATGTGTCTCTGGTGCCGTGTCCTGTGCTGCTATGCGGCTGCTATGCGGCTGCTATGCGGCTGCTGTGTCTAGCCTGCTCTCTTCCATCCTCTGGCCCATCCCCCCGGCTGTTGGGACCCGAATGAAAAGTTGCCGCACCGGTGGTTGCAGAAGTGGTTACACTTGGACCTACATCAACACCCACATTGATGTGAAGCGCACGTCTGTCTGTCTGTCTGTCTGTCTGTCTGTCTGCCTATACGTATTTACGTATGTACGTTACCGTAACCGTGTGTACGTGCAGGTGATGGCAGACCTAGTGGAAAGCGGCCTCCGTCTGCACGGGCTGCACGCCTCACAACAGTCCCAGCTCCAGCTGCTGCAGCAACAGCTTCAACAAGAACAGCAGCAGCTGCAGCAGCAGCAACGGCCTTTCGCTCTATTTGGCGGCGGCCGCCCCACTCCCCCGGGCGGCGCCGCCGCACAGCCGCCGGGCCTACCGGCTGCCACTGCGGCACCGGATATGGCTTATGGATATGATGCTGGGGCGGGGGCCGAGGCCGATGATAGCGGGTGGTGACCGGAGCACGAGGCAATGGCGCAGGCGGCCTTGCCTGCCCTTGAAGCCGCATTACCCAGTCCACGAGAAAAAGAAAGATGTAAATGTGTGCGCAGGATATTGCGCAGATGTCCGTATATGGGATGGTTACATCGTGTGTAGCAACCCGTCTCTGGTCGCACTGCGTACGCGGTATGTACGGAGGGACGTACGGAAATATATATAGAGATCTTCTGTTAACGTTTTCTGACGTGTGCGCCTTATGGCTCCTACGGTCAATGGTGAATTTATGCAAGCAGATAGGCGTTCTACACGATGCCGTATCGGCCTCGGCGGTGTTTGCTGACCTGGTTTATGCCCACCTTCGGTTTCGATTATTGCTATCGGTTCCGTACTCCCGCAGCATGCAGCCTTTTTGTGATCTGGAACTGGGTCGCCGGGGGCTCCGGAGCCCTTGGGATTTCTGTCCTGGTTGATTTGAGTAGCACGGTTACCTCCTTATGGGCTCTACGTGTGAAGGTTGCGGTGGGCGTGGTGCATCTTTCGTACGGCAGGCGGGTGCTATGAAGTACGCAAGCTGCTCGTTTGTACAATTAATTTGGCCAATGCTCGGGGCCTCCGAAGAGTTGCAGTGTGCCGCGCGGCTGTGGGGCGGATTGCTGAAGCCGCTAGCACTTCGGGGATAAACATCACAGACAGCACCGGAAAGTGCTGAGGGCTTTGGGGAAGTGTGTCGAGCTAGGCTTTGAAGGGGGCGCCAAGGGTGCGTGAGCAGGTGCCCGAATGGGCAGGTCAATGCCTGAAGGGGTGCCGTAGGCAGTGCGTACGGTGCTGTATGGCGCTGTTTCCCTGTGTGTTATGGCTGCGGCACCAGACCGCAAAGCCAAAAGGCTGAGGGCTGGCAAGCTGCGATCGTGTCTGCTGAGCGTTGAGCATCCGGCCTGGACCGCGGACTTGGCGGCTGAGCCCCTGCTGTGTGCCGGTAACGGCACCTCAGACTCATACGCTTACGCCCAAGCAAGGAGCTGTCGGTGGCAGGTCGCGGACCTCCAGACTGCGTGCAACGGCCAATGACTCTTAGCCGTGTCTGCTAGGTTCCAGAGAGACACCGTCTCTTCAACAGGTTATGAGCCCCGGCTTCCTGCCTCCCGCGCTCTGACAAGCATAGCTCCCACAGCATCAGCACTGCTGCAACAAGCACAGCTCCCACCACGTTGACACTACCCTAGCTACCGGCCTGTACGGATGCAGGGGGCCCCGCCCTTTTTCCGGCTTCGAGGAAGCCGACACCCGACTTGTCTGGATCCGACTTTGGATCTGCTGTGTCCATTCAAGATCTTGTCTAGGTTTCATCATTTAGTGGAGAAGAGAGAACTGTACATGCGATGATTCCAGCTGTTCTTGGCTCTATGTTCTGCCGCTTCCATTGATGGTAAAGGGAATAAGCACAGTGTTGCTTTACCACGACTGCAGAAAAGTATCGATGTATCACGAGTACAGAAAAGTAAAGATGGGCGGATGTCAAATCTCGTGATACGCCCCCTGCAGGGTACAACACACATCCCCGGGTGCCCAGACATCCAGATGAGAGGCCATACATAGCTAGTAGGTACCTATGTACTAGTAGTTAGGGTGTATACATATCTCGTGCCTGGAAAGATGGAAGGCTGTGCATGGTGTTCCAGCCTGCTGTAAGACTCTTCGATTAGTTGGCAGTTACTTACAAATGTGTTTACGTACTGGGAGCTGCATGCAGGCAGCTGGACATGAAGCAAGGATAACAAAGGAGAGCAAGTAATAATGCGTCACTGTGTTTCAAGGCAGGATGGAATGAGATTGGATCATGAGTACGAATGTACGAGCTAGCATGCGCACGTCAATAGTAGGTGCCCCCCTATCAGTCAGCCATCAGTCACGCACAGCAGTAATTTGCACTCCTCCAGGGAACATAGGATATGCGAGAGTTAATACTTCCCATCATGCAACCTGGCAGCAATACAAGTACATACTGAAGCATTATTGCCGGGAGCAAGAAGATCGTCCACACACTTTAAAACCCCTTTTGACCCAAATTTGCACAGGATGGACATGAATCCATGACATAGTTGTACAGTGACATGTATGCATCGACGGCTTGCTTTATGATGACCTGTCCCATCCAGGGCAGCAGAAACAAACAGAGCCGTACATGGCTTTTTGCTTGATGGCCCATGCACCGTATTGTGACCTCACGCGCCAATTAGCCATAGGTCATCACTATTAATCAAGATAATTACAAGGTCATCGAACACATGGTTCAAACCAAGGAAATCTCCTTCAATTAGTGTGCATAACCTCGCAGCCAACCTCTCCCCTGTCTAAACGTATCTAACATACGTTCCGGCGTCTTCACATTTCAACGAGCGAGCGAGTGAAAATGCAATTACGCATAGCAGGCCCCTGGACTTGGGCTGTCATCAACCCCTGCTAATCCACCCCTGCCTTAGCGATATGCGACGCATTGACCACTGCGGGGTTGAACACCCTTTTGTCCGTCGCCAGTTCTGGTTCCCATGTTTGACGCAAGCAGACAGTAGCTTGATGCATATACAAGTTACAAGTTCCGCACACAAGTGCGGGTGTGTCCGTAAAAGCCGGGGGGGGGCCCGTGGACATATATATGTAGTGCATACGTAATGCAATATACATACATACGTACGTACGTACATACATATGCCGTTGAAAACATGCATTCCTAAGACATCTCCAAGCATGACCCGCCGTCCAAAAGCTACTGATAGGGAGGATCGGAAGCAATCTCCGCAAGCAGTCATACTCCACAGTAGGCGTGTTGCGCCTAAATCCCTGAGTTATACAGGCGAGGGCATCTGTGGCGCCGGATTAGGAAGTGGAAACACATTTAAAGCATGTTCACTTTTTGGGGGTTGGTGGATAGCGTTTGCGTGGTGGTGAGGTGTGCTTGCGTGGCGGCGGAGAGCGCTTGCGTGGTGGCGGGGAGCGCTTGCGTGGTGGCGGGGAGCGCTTCTTCGGGGGTTGGGAACGCACTCTTGGTGAGCTGGGGTGAATCGGGGATGGGGACTGCAGTTGCGGGGGGAGAAGGCCAGTGTATGATACCAGCCCTCCTGGGATTGCCTGCGTGGCAGGGCGATTACGAGGTGGGCTTGGCGGATTTGAGGGCTTCGGAGGCCTAGGAGTTTTGGGAGCTTGCGGCGATCGGGACGGGCCTTGAGTAGCTTGCTTCCCTGGCTTCGGTGGCAAAGACGTTGGTGAAGGTGATGCTGGAGTTGAAGGCAGTGGGGGTTTAGGGGCTTTTGGCGCTTTGGGTGGCGGTGGTGGGCGAGGTGGCGGTGATGCTGGAGTTGAAGGCGGTGGGGGTTTAGGGGCTTTTGGCGCTTTGGGTGGCGGTGGTGGGCGAGGTGGCGGTGATGCTGGAGTTGAAGGCGGTGGGGGTTTAGGGGCTTTGGCGCTTTTGGTGGCGGTGGTGGGCGAGGTGGCGGTGATGCTGGAGTTGAAGGCGGTGGGGGTTTAGGGGCTTTTGGCGCTTTGGGTGGCGGTGGTGGGCGAGGTGGCGGTGATGCTGGAGTTGAAGGCGGTGGGGGTTTAGGGGCTTTTGGCGCTTTGGGTGGCGGTGGTGGGCGAGGTGGCGGTGATGCTGGAGTTGAAGGCGGTGGGGGTTTAGGGGCTACTGGCGCTTTTGGTGGTGGTGGTGGGCGAGGTGGCGGTGATGCTGGAGTTGAAGGCGGTGGGGGTTTAGGGGCTTTTGGCGCTTTGGGTGGCGGTGGTGGGCGAGGTGGCGGTGATGCTGGAGTTGAAGGCGGTGGGGGTTTAGGGGCTTTTGGCGCTTTTGGTGGCGGTGGTGGGCGAGGTGGCGGTGATGCTGGAGTTGAAGGCGGTGGGGGTTTAGGGGCTTTTGGCGCTTTTGGTGGTGGTGGTGGGCGAGGTGGCGGTGATGCTGGAGTTGTCGGCCGTGGAGGCTTAGGAGCTTTGGGCGCTTTTGGTGGCGGTGGTGGTGGGGTTGAACCCTGGCTCGGCGGACGGGCTGACGTTGGCGATGACGACGAACCCGACGGTGATGGTGATAGCGGTGTTGTCGGCCGTGGAGGTTTCGGAGCTTTGGGCGCTTTTGGTGGCGGTGGTGGTGGGGGTGAACCCTGGTTCGGCGGACGGGCTGACGTTGGCGATGACGACGAACCCGACGGTGATGGTGATAGCGGTGTTGTCGGCCGTGGAGGCTTAGGAGCTTTGGGCGCTTTTGGTGGCGGTGGTGTGGGGGGTGAACCCTGGCTCGGCGGACGGGCTGACGTTGGCGATGACGACGAACCCGACGGTGATGGTGATAGCGGTGTTGTCGGCCGTGGAGGCTTAGGAGCTTTGGGCGCTTTTGGTGGCGGTGGTGGGGGGGTGAACCCTGGTTCGGCGGATGACCTGACGTTGGCGATGACGACGAACCCGACGGTGATGGTGAAGGCGATGTTGTCGGCCGTGGAGGCTTAGGAGCTTTGGGCGCTTTTGGTGGCGGTGGTGTGGGGGGTGAACCCTGGTTCGGCGGACGGGCTGACGTTGGCGATGACGACGAACCCGACGGTGATGGTGATAGCGGTGTTGTCGGCCGTGGAGGCTTAGGAGCTTTGGGCGCTTTTGGTGGCGGTGGTGTGGGGGGTGAACCCTGGTTCGGCGGATGACCTGACGTTGGCGATGACGACGAACCCGACGGTGATGGTGAAGGCGATGTTGTCGGCCGTGGAGGCTTAGGAGCTTTGGGCGCTTTTGGTGGCGGTGGTGTGGGGGGTGAACCCTGGTTCGGCGGACGGGCTGACGTTGGCGATGACGACGTACCCGACGGTGATGGTGAAGGCGATGTTGTCGGCCGTGGAGGCTTAGGAGCTTTGGGCGCTTTTGGTGGCGGTGGTGTGGGGGGTGAACCCTGGTTCGGCGGACGGGCTGACGTTGGCGAGGACGTAGGACGGCGTTGATGGTGCGAGGGTGTTGTCGGCCGTGGAGGCTTAGGAGCTTTGGGCGCTTTTGGTGGCGGTGCGTGTGTGGGGTCGAGCCTGGTGGTGAGTTTTGGAGTTGGGGCGATGGCGAAGTCAAAAGCTGCGGAGGGCTGTGGAGGGCTGTTGATGGTCCCGAGTTTGGTGGACTTTGAAATGGTGGATGTAAATTTTGGATTGATGGACGCGGTGACGGGGCGTTTCTCATTGGTGCTGGTTGGGGAGAGCTGCTGTTTGGTTGGCCGTGCGGACTTTGGGGGGGCGGATGGTGGGGATAATGGTCGCGGAGGTTTCGGAGCTTTC